CACACTTAGGAATGAATCCAGTATTGGGATGCCGGGCCCTATCCTTGGGGTTTGGCAATTTTGGCAAATGGACCTGCAGAAATCCGGGGCAGGCCAAACGGGGTTCAATACATTCACATTTGAAGTTGACATCTGAACGCCCAGCCGGCGCTAGATCACTGTCTAAGTATGTAGGGTCTCGTAGCGGATATAATTAGACGATTAAATGTAGCGCCTGAACGGCCTTCCTTCTATTTTTGTGGCCTGAGGCCTGAGGATGATGACTGTGTTATAGTTCTCTCTCAGAATAAACAGTCAGGACAACTTCGAGGCCCTGAGACTTCGACTTCGAAGCTTCGATTTTTTGGCCCTTCAACGCTAGCTTCAGCTTCGGCACCAACTGCCGCATCTGGCTTTCTTTCCGGGTCCTTGTAGTATTATACGAGTTCGTCACAGAGGAGGTATTTTCGGTCATTGCGATGGTCGCGGTCAATTATACTCAGCATATCTCTCCATTGGACCCGACTTTGCAGGGGTGTTGTTCAGCATGACTTGTGACAATAAAAATCAGAGAGCCGGCTCTTTCTGAATGCGTCAAAGTCTAGGAGATCACTTGGTAGAAATCAAACGTGCTGCTCCACCTCTCACGTCCGTTGACTATGGATCTAGAGTGGGTCATGTTTCTCCGTAGGACGCATTCCTATCAAGACTTAACGGCAGTGGAGTTGAAGTTCATTCATATTTATAGACTCGCGACAGGGATATAAGTGAAGAGAACTACAGGAGGATCCTCAAGTTGAATAACTTCCCCAGATTTATTTCGCATCAAACAAGTCTTTCAATTACAATGAAGTTCTCTATCATCTCTCTCGCCGCTATAGTCGCCTTTGTCTCGCAAGCGAGCGCTGCGCCGAGCCCACAAGGCAGCTTGCCGATTTTCTTGTGTAGGTGTACCTAATACCTTCGACATCTTAGAGCTACTCACGTCATAAAATTTTAGGCGCTGGACCTGATGTAAGGAACTTCTGACCCTAATATATTCTCGCTCCAAACACTTGACTAACCTCGATATCTGACTTGACATTATCAGCACCTCACTTGTAAGTCGTGCAGTGATTGTTCTCATCACCATAAACCTTACGCTCCTTTTCAAAAAATCAGGCCCTGATTCATACCACTGCTGTCCCCCTTCAGGCATCACTAAGCCAGATGGCCAGTACGTAGGACCCATGTTATCCGAATGTTTATAGCTAATAACATTATCTAGATGCGTGTTGAACGGCACGCCATGCCCTTACTAAAGGCCATGAGCGAGGAGATTTACGAACTCATATGTAGTAGTAGTATCTTAACATAACTTTACTGATGTTTTTTTTTTACTGATGTTGTTCATAAACTTAAAGTTCCAATTACCAGTGTCCGAACTGCGTTTCGACGCAAGTGAGAGCATAAATATTTGGTACCATGTATTTAATACATTTGAATTCTGATGTCTACATGTCTACAATCCCACAGCGGTCAAGAGCTTCGCGAAGTTAGGTGTGCCGAGGCCAGTGACGGGATCCCAACCAGTCTTCGCGGGGAAGCCGTTGGTGTTGCATCCCGGGTTGTCACCTAAATAAAATGTTATTCACTTAACATCGTTGATCTGCATTGAGACTCACCAGTTGTGATATCGTTGAGAGCGGCGGCGCCTGCAGCGGAATACAAGAATGGGTTCAAGAAGCCAAGTGGTGACTTTCCAGCTGCAGCGAGCCTGTCATTCAACAAAGCGATGACGCTGGCAAAGATGGGGCTCGAGCAACTGGTTCCTGCGACGCTTTCCTTCGAACCTTCAAGGACGATTTGCACGTTCTGTCCTTGCGCAGACACGTCGGGGAAGGCGCGTCCCGAAGTGTTGAACTTGCCAGAGTTGGTACTTCCGAGAGCGGTGAGGTAGGTAGACACAGACGAAGACTGGTACGAAGGACGCGCGAAGACGTTGGAGAAACCGCCTGACGAGAAAGTGGCGGCGGTTTCGGTGATACCCGTGGTTGCGCCAACGGATGTCATAAAGGGGCATCCGGAGGGGAAGGTGGGAAGGAAAGTCGTGCAACGACCAGACTGAGAACCAGAGACGCCGCCATCTCCAGACGCAAACAAGATGGAAGTTCCACGGGCACCGAGTTGCATGTACGCATTGCAGAGTTGGCTTGATTTGAGCAAGTCAATTATAGTACGCGTAAAGATCCAAAAATAAACTTACTTGGCAAGGGCAGCGGAGATGGTGTTTTCGTTTTGACCATACGAGGTTGTGAGTACTTGAGGGGGGTTGCTCTCGGCAAGAAGAGCGTTGATAATGTCGAGGAATCCCTCAAGGTTTCCATCCTTGAAATTCTCGCCCACCGAGATGAAAGTAGTTGGGACACCTGAAGCAACGCCGACGGTGTACTGGATATCAAGGTTGGCCTCGATACCAGCCTGGCTGGCAGTTTGGGAATTGGATCCGCCATCGAGTGTCTGGAGAGAGAACTTGGTGGCAGAGGAAAGGTCGGTACGGAATGATTTAAGGAAAGTCGTCAAATCTGCTTGGTTGGCAAATTGTTCAATGAAGCCAGAAACACCGAGCGTGTTCGAGGACTGAGTCGCAAGGGTCGTTGGGATTCCGTACATAGCCTGCAAGCACGCAGGAGTTACAGCTGTGTTGCATGAGCTGGGAACGGCACGGGATTCGAGATCTGGGACCTCCTCGCTTGACGGGCGCACGACCTTTGGGCTGACGACAACTGGTAGATTGGCGTGCGGGTTGTCGAAACTTGGAAATGATGGTACATTAGTTGTGATTCTCCCAAATTATATAAATAAAATGCTCACGTAATAGTAGGGTGAACAAGATCGACGTGACCTATCAGCTCGGCCGGAATTGAATATGAGAGGGTACGAGTGAGGGTTGTGCCAGTTTCGGGGTGCGTGAAGACAGTAAAGTCCGCATCGAGCAAAGTGTTGGCTTGGCTAACGGGGATAGAGAATTGTAGCCAGTCGCCAGCGGGGGAGATTGTCTGCGCAGTGATGGAGTTTGCGGCAAGCCATTGCTGGACAAGAGATACGGATTCGGAAGAAGGAGCAACGAAAGCTTCAACCTGAATGGGAATCTAAAGTCAGAACGTAGTGCGCATTGATTGAAGAATTTTTTACCTCTTCTTTGGTCAGATGCTGGCCGTATAATGCGCTTCCTGGAGTGCTAACATCAAACAACGCTTTCTCGAGGCCGGCCATATCTCCCTGCGTAAGCGCAATACGGAGGTTGAGCATCTTGGTGGCAGGGGCCGGGGTGGATTTGACGAAGCCATCGGGAATGTCGCGACGCTGTTCGTGAACCAACAGGTTGCGGAAAGCTGGGCTTCCAGAAACAACGGCCACAAAGGCAGCGAGGAGGAAAAATCCGGTGCGCATGTCTGTGTAAAGCCCAAGTGGTCTACAAATTTAACCTGAAGTAGAAAGACCATTTTATAGCGATTTCGACAACTCGAAAGCGCGTGGACCGTTATCAAGCTGATTAAGAGTCGATAGCTTAGTGACATGCGGTCATAAACAGCAATCTGCTCCTTCAGCTATTCTGAACATGCGACAGGCATGAGTGATATGCTTCGCACTAAGTATACATGCCGTGACCATACGCTTCTACGCGATCTTATTGGACCCCCTAGGTATTTATTTATAGTGTATCGAGGCTGCGCTGCATCAAGAGATTTCGTTGTGTTTACTTCGAGGAAGCGTGGTTACTCTTTGACGAGAATGGCGGGGTTCATATGGAGCCCCTGAGATATGTTTTATTTATAGCACAAGCACTAGTGCTATAATTAGTCTATGCGATTTCTATGCCAGCACCGACCGAATAGTTTTCCTGATAGGCAATGCGAGTACTCACATTAACCGATATCAGCTTTGTCAATAGAATAATGCATGAAAATTAGAAGACGGGACATGTGCTAGTATACAGAGGCTCGTCGAGAGATAATGTGGCACGAAACGCGTCTTAATACACACGAAGGCAGACTCAAGCAGTGCGTCATACAGAGCATTCGACCTCGTTCAGGTGCTGGTTCAGAAAATCTTACCTCATTGTATGGCTAAAAATTTATGCCAGATGAATTCAGAGTCAACTGGTACAAGACAGTGTATAATAGTACCTCACAGCTAACGGCGAAAATGGCAGAACTTGCAAGTACAAATTCTCTCACCCGCAAAGTTGAACTGCGTAATTGCAGAGATCACATAAATATACATCGTCATGTGGTTTGACCGTTACTGGCCAGCTTTACTCAAGCGGCGCGGGGGAAGTGCATTGAAAATGCCTTGGCTAGCTGCGGACGCTCATAGATCATCTGTAACGATTGAACTGAAAAGCTAACCATACAAGGGACTCTTAAAAAAACTGGTCAACTGAGCAATTTTTCTCGGTGGCTTGAAAACTCTTCAAAAAGAAGGTGGAAACAATCATGATGGACGCAGCATGGACGCTTCCGAGGGGGATGTCCAAAGTGTTCGAAGTACACGAGAACTTCACTGGTGCACATGGACTGCCTCTTATCAGACTACGAGTCGTGGACCTTTGTGCACAATGGCGTGGTCGCATGGTCTCTTCGCTATCGCGCCTTGTCATCCAAACTGGCCAGAGATTTGCAGAGCTTTTTGATGTAATCCCACCGTTTGACAGCAGCGACGCCGTCGAGAAACGTGTGTTCACCGCATTAATGGGGTAGTGGTAACCTGGGTCGTTGCCATTCGAGTGTTGACTCGACCCGCCGGGAGTTCGATTCTCTCTTAATGCACGTGAAATTGTTTTTCTTCCCTTCCTGTCCTTTTGGGATTTTCAAATTTAGTTTATATCTTTCAACTTTTCAAGAATCAAGACTCAAGACTCCTGAACTTTGAAGTATAGGCAATAGCCCTGAGCTGGTAACGTCAATACCGTCAGCGCCTGCCAGTGGACACATGAAATAGGCGCCCATCTAGTTACCACGTTAATAAGTGATTCCGCAGCATTAATGGGGTAGTGGTAACCTGGGTCGTTGCCATGCGTTGTCGACCCGCCGGGAGTTCGATTCTCTCTTAATGCACTTATACGCATTTCACGATAAGCTGATGCTCTCTTTTTTGCGCAAACCAAAAGCCGGAACTGATTCTGAGAATTTAATACTACGCTATATACATAATACAATACATATGATTGAAAGAATACTATATCGACAACGCTCAACGTTAAACCAACGGCAATCTCAGGCGTACTGTCCATATTCGAACTAAATTTCATGAAGAGTGTGCAACCAAAGTCTAACACGATCGCCGCCTGAAAAATCCGGGTGTAAGCCTCGTCGCAGTGGATTTACCTTCCTGCTGAACGGGTAATTCTACTACCGGTTCGAACTTCCACCGGGAGCTCATCATGGCTGCCAATTGAATAGCCTCCTGTGTAACGTCATGCAATTCAATGACGGTAATATCACCAAGCGTCCTAGAGAAGGAAGACCTCTCTGAGCTGGCCGTAGAGAGAACGGGGGACGGGGTGACGGGGTCAACGGTCTCGCTTGCCCTCCAGGGAGAGATCATTCTTTTGAGGTTGTCGATAGACAGCTTGTGTGCGAGTGAGCGCGCTGGGGAGTAAGTGTTCGGTGCGTGTTGGGTGAATGAGAAGTCCCCAAAAGTTGAAGTTCGGACTCTTTGGGCCTCAGGAAAGGACGAGCGCCTAACTGAGCGCCTAACCGCGCGTAATGGGGTAATCTTGACTTTGCGGGCCGTAGCGCAGATAGAGGGGCTCGCGCTCCGTATATCGTCGTCCATTTCGAATTCAGAGTCGGAGTCGAAGTCTGAGAGAAAGCTGTAGGGTTCCACCTCGTCGTCGCCGCTATGATTAGAAGCGGTCCGCTCTTGGTATAACTCTTCGCGCGTGTTGAACGGGTCACGAAATTTCTCCTGATTCGCAAAGAAATCTATGTCGCTGGGAACAAAGCGTGTTGAAATGAGATTGTCGTGCTCGTCATTGGGAATTGGGGAGCTGCGCGTCGAGTCAAAGAAGAAGTCGTGGGAGGCGAGGGAGACGGAGGATAGGCGCAACGCATCCTTCTCCGATGAGTGGGTTGGAAGAATAACAATCTCGTCCATGGGTCCAATTGAGCCATCCTCTGAACGACTGTAGGGATGATAGATGTAGGCGGATCTGTGTGCACGCATTACAGCAGCCTGATCTAAGGGAGAATCCATAGATGGCGGATAAGCAAGCGTTAAGCGTTATGGTTGAGGGTTGGATATCGCGTGCAAAGACCACTTTATATATGGGATTCCGACTTGATGTTTGCCCTAAATTGTCTGCGTCTCGACAGGTGACGGAGATCGATGCCTATGGTAAATGCTATGCGACGTGGTGTCGTTGTCAGTCAAAGACTGATGCTCAGTTCATTTCAATTGAAGCTATTCGCACAGCGAATAAAGGTGTTTTATTCAAGGCCGCGCTGAAGCGGAGGATTATAAATATGGTCTCCATTCTCAGTGATAGATGTCAGATATAGGAATCATACTATGCGTTCATCTAGAGATGGTTCTGGCAGTTACGGTATCAGCATACATTAATAACGAGTCCGGTGAGCTTGAATTAGATCCTAATATTGAGTGCACAGCCAAACACTAGTATTTTCATGAGAAACTCTATACGCCTCAACTTGACTGCCAAAGTCGGGGGATATGAGATACTGTAAAAACGACCTTGTACTTCTCAGCACCTGATGATTGGAAGTGCCGGTCACCTCAAGTGCCTAAAGGATATCACCGACATCCAAATCATGATCCTGTCCTAGTGGTGGTCAAAAGATGTCCGACTGCAGCTGTCCAGACAACCTGGGTCATCAAGTATCATGGCAAGGAAAAGAATACAGAGGCTGTGAAGTACTCTACATTATTTAAATCTAAGAAGCGTGCGCATTAACAGAAGTTGAGGTCTGAAGCCTGAGGCATCAATGATATCGATATTGATGCGCGGAATATGGCATTGCGAAAGAGTCATCGAAACCTATGCACCACATCTTCATTCAATCTCTCTATTCTCATCGACAAGTCCTCTCTCTCCGATTTGCGCTCTTGTACATCCCGCTCGATCCAATGGTGTAGATCTTGCACATATTTGACGAGCTCTCTTTGCTGTTCGATTGTTGCCAGCTGCGCTAGGCGAGTTTCCTAAAGGGAGATAGATAGTTTGACTCACGTTTAATGCCAAGGGCAAAGAAATACCTGTAATAGTTGAACCACTTCGTTTTCACGCTCCAGGAAAGCTGAGATTGGTATGACAACCTTGGCGAAGCATAAATGCATCCAAAATATCGATAAACATAACATACCGGGGCTGGAGCTGCTTGAGAAGTACTGGTATTACGAGGATTACGAGGATTTGGATCACCATGGTGCTCAGCGACGGATGACTGAGCGGGCGCCTATCCAGTTTTGTTGCGAAACCGTGATGTCTTATCGTCGGAAGAACAAGTTATCAATTGACTTACCTGAACATGATTGGACCGGGTCTCATGGCCTCCGGTATAGTTCATTCTGATTGACTGAAAGTGTAATCTGAAGGAGACGACCAACGAGGGCAGCAGAAGCTGCCAAGTTGCGGATTGGCTCAAGATCGTTGGCCAGCACGGAGATGGACCGTTTCGTCGGAGTTTGAAAATGCGAAGGCTTTCGCCGACGGCATCGGTGGCAGTGTCCCTGTCGAAGAGCCTGAGTGACGCAGTATGTTGGAATGCTTCCAACTTCAGCAAATTCTCCAAAACGACGCGTCCTGCGGCGCTGGCGGAATCGCATTCGCCATCAGCTTCCTCAATCCAGACAAAGAAGATGGCTCCTATACATCGCTATCCTTGCTACCGTCCACTTCTTCGTTGGATATGGGCAACGAGATCTACGGCGCGCCTTTCCGTTTCTCTTCGGTGAAATCGACGAGCCACCAACATACAAACAGCTGAGGCAGTGGGAGTTGGACCTTCCGCAGCATAATCTTGAACTTCCCTTTCCGGAGGGTCGAAATGGGAGATATGTGTATTTCAGGAACCAAGTCAGGAAGTTGGGATGGAATAATGCACTGAATGAAGTGTGAGCACACTCTTTTCCTCGTCTTCACATTACCTCAATATTCGGCAGCCTCATGAATACCCACTTGGCATACAAGTCCAACAGAACCTATGTTTTTCAAGATTACATGTGGAAGCGCTCATACTATCCTTGGCGGTGGTATAAACACCGCGATTGGAGACCACGCACACCTCTCAATGCACTCATAGGAGGCCCATCGGCTGGCGGGCCATGGGACAAAGATGATCCTGCCCCGCGCTCGGTCTCAGAACGTTGGTTCGACATTGTCTGTCCCAAATCTGAACGGCGCATCATCTATTCAGAGGACGTGAAACCTGCAATCAGGTGGAAGAACGGCGACGTTATTTTCAAGCACTGGCAAAAGCTCCTCAGCGAAGCGCCTGAACGTTGTATTGAAGTGAAACCCGTGTCGCTCAAAGTAGACCCCTTCCCACAAACGTTCGATTTGTATGTCTGGGGCTCTGAGCGCATTCTCCCGTTATGGGAGGAGTTCAAAAACTCCCCAGTAAGCCAATTGCTCTCGACGTCGCCCATCGTGCAATCTGCCGTCGACCGTAACCTATATCTCTTCATGGCGCGTTCCTCAAGAGCACAAAACACCGACGTACCCGACCCATTCGACCGAATGTTGGCTATCCATCTTCGACGCGGCGACTTCTCACAGGCTTGTCTAGATCTGGCTAATTGGAACTCTACGTTCTATAGCTGGAATTTGCTGCCGTCGTTACCTGACAGCTTCAGCACACCACCGGGATATGAATGGGGCAAGAATACGCCAGAGAATGTACAACTCTATCTGGAACGCTGCTTCCCTACGGACGAATTTATTCTCAACAAAATCAGAACATCGCGAAGTGATTACATTCGTGGAGCGAAGTCTGGCGAGCCTCGTGTGCTGGATACGCTCTACCTGCTCACTAATGACAAAAGTGGTTGGGTCGATAGCATGCGGCCTGTTCTTCAACGAGAAGGATGGAATACTATAGTAACGACGAAACAGCTGCATCTCGATCAGGAGCAGAAGGACGTGAATATGGCTGTAGATATGGAATTTGCTCGCAAGGCAGCAGTTTTCATTGGGAATGGGGTACGTCGCCGATATCTTTGCGAGTCTAGGGTCTTGTGCTAATTAGTTATCAGTGGTCTTCGTTTACCAGTAATATCGTACATCGACGACTTGTTGATGGACGGGATCCTAATACAATTCGCTTTTACTAACGAAACACGAGGGTCGAATCAAAATGCTGCGACACTATCACATACGAAATGTTGTGAGATTCGATCAATCATCTTGTAATTTTTTTGCTTAATACTATACTATTTCGACTGCTTGTGGTCAGTCATAATCACAAGGCAATGCTCCAACCCTGATTTTGCAGTCTTCCTCGTTCAAAACAACGCCAGGTTAAACGTATGATTGGAACCCTACTCAGTCTACTCTGCGCCTCCGGCTTGCAGGGGCCGTGATAATTCCCAGGCAAGTGGGAAGCAGGTTCCCCAGAGAACGCGGTATACCCGCGGACTTTCTTTACCCGTGTCCATCAAGCCCGCGTTAAACCACCACCCTCGATGTACTCGGTTTCTCGATGTTTTGTCCTTAACCTCAGACCTGCTTCCCTCTCCCCGCCATCATCACCATCGTCGCCTCCATCTTGTACGGTCACTGCGAAATGTCGTCCTCTCAAATCGCTTCATCCGGAAAAGCCACCGTACTCCAAAAGCGCGACGATGATGTCGTAGTTGTAACTGCCTTGCGCTCAGCCATCACTAAGGTATGTATATCTGGTCTTGACGGAGTGCGAGCATTGAATATACGGCGTTCACAGGGCAGGAAAGGTGGATTCAAAGACACCAAACCTGAAATTATCCTGGCCGAAATTCTTCGCGCCTCGTATTCCAAAGCTAATCTTGACCCGATCCTCATCGACGACGTCTCTGTTGGTAATGTTCTCCCTCCTGGAGGAGGCGCAGGTGCAGCTCG